ATATATATATATATATATATATATATATATATATATATATATATATATATATATGTGTGTGTGTGTGTTTGTGTGTGTGTGTATACATTGAACAAATATTATTATGTAAAGAGGAATTAAATTAAAATAAACTAAAAACAAATACAAAGATAAACAACGAAAGAAAAAAGAAGAATGAAAATGTTATTTGATAAGAAAACAAATTATATGATGCTGAAATAAATTAAAATAAAAAACAAAAAAAAAAGACAAAGACAAAGACAGAGAAGTGGAGTTGTAACAAAAAGAAATAAATATATGAGGAGATATTATATTGATGTATTTATAAATAAGAAAACAAAAAATATAATAATAAAAAAAAAGTAAAGACAAAACAAAGACATAAAGATATAATAAAAAGACAATGAAAATACAAAAGAGAAAAAAAGAATGAATTATTTTTTTGTTTTTTCTTCATTTCTTTGCTTTATATTTAGAGACGAGAAGCAACAAAATGCATGCAAAAGAAAAAAAACAAACATACAGCAGTATAAAAACCATAAAACAAAAACATAATACAACAACAACATAAATATAACAAGAATACGAAAATAATAATAAAAAAAAAAAAAAAAAAAAAAAAAAAAANAAAAAAAAAAAAAAAAAAAAAAAAAAAAAAAAAAAAAAAAAAAAAAAAAAAAAAAAAAAAAAAAAAAGTTATACTTTTCATGTCTTCTTCATCGAACTCAACATCGCTATCTTCTTCTTCACTGGATTTATGTTGTAGTTGTTCTTCTTCTTCTTCAGTTTTATTTTGTTCTGAATCTGATGAAGTTTTTTTTTCTTGTTCTTCTATAATCATTTCTAATTCATTGAGTCTATCTTGGTCTGTAATACCTTCAGGTGTAACTACATCATCAGAAAGCTCAGCTGTTTCTTGATTTATTTCCTCCATTTCATTCAGAAGATGTTCGTGGTCTTGTTTATCTTCTTTATACATTAATTTCATAAAAGCAGCAGCATCTATCTTTCCCGGTAGCTTGCTGCTTGTATCCTCCCATGCTTCATCACCTGAATCCTCGTTTTCTTTTACTTTTCCATACAGTTGTTTTATACGCTGTACATGTTCTCTATCAGGTAATACTTGATATTTCTGAGCCAATTTAAATACAGAATTTCGTGCATCTGCTCTCTTACCTGTTCTTGCTTCAGCTACAAAGTGTATTGCTCTTTCATCTATAACCACTCTCTGCTTTTGTAAAGCTGCAAACAACTCAGCACCCTTTCCCTGCTGTACAGAACGACGTTTAAAACTCCTGAATTTCTTCAATGAAGACTTCAGTGGCTGCTGCTGCGACTTTGGCGGAGAGCTGAACAGCTCATCGTAGGTTGATAGACGGATTGAATCCTTTTTTGAAGCCATCCTCGGAGATCACGCGAAGAAAAACACAGAAATTCAAAAAAAAAATAAAAATACACAAACAATGAAGCCGAAACAAACAGCTGAACAAAACAAATATCTCACACACGACCCGACCAGCGTGCCGGACCAGAGAAAGGAAAGCGCTGCGGATCAGAGCTCGCGTGGTGGAAAGCTGAGATTTTTTGACACAAAGGGGGAAAACAAGAAGAAATAAAACAGAAAAATACATATATTTATCAATATATTCTGTAGATTCTATGAAGAAAGCTCTTCTGTTCCACTGGCTGCCGCGCCGCCGCAGTTCAACTTCTGCGAGGTGTACATGCAGCTTCCGCTGGTGTGTTTTCGCGGAAAGGTAGCTTTTCGGAGTTTTTTTTCTCTTTTAAACCATCAGAAATGTTTTAAATATAACTCTATTCTTGAAACTCTAGAGCAATTGCCTCACTCCTTCACCGGCGGGTCTGGCGTGCTGCTGCATCGACATGTTTGGCGGTTCCCCCTCCACTGATCCGTTGAGCGATCCATGAAAAAAAAATAATTTTTTTGGTTTTTTTTCATCATTTTACATTTGAAAAATCCCAGTTGCGTCTTTGTATTCAGTTTTTTTTCGGCTCACACAGCCGCCAGCTGCACCGCCACCCCACGGTTTCTGCCGTTCTTGAATAAGTTGTTTCTGCCTTTTATTGAATCCCCCACATCCTAGAAATAAATGAAAATGCAGAAAATTAATTTTTTTAATTCAGTATACAACCAGCGCCGAGAGGTCCACTGGTCACGGCACTCCATCCCCACCGCCTGTGGCTGCATTGGCGGGTTTCTTTCTTTTTCTGTGTTTGTTATTTCGAGTGTATAGACGCTAAATAGATGAAAGTTTATTTCTTCTTCGACCTGAAACGACTCAATTCATCTTTTTTCACTTCATATGAGTTCAGTTGTCAGTTTTTTTTTTTTTTTTTTTTTTTTTTTTTTTTTTTTTTTTTTTTTTTTTTCCTTCTGTCTAGAGCATGTTAGGTTTAGCATGTTTTTTGTGCTGCATATATATATAATTATACAAAATGAAGGTGTTTTAGCTCCTTTGCTGCTGCATGCAGTCAGTGCATGCAAACGTAGTGCTGGGTTTATAGAGAAAACAGCTGAGACGCTGCTGCTGTAAAAAGACAACACCGAAAACAACAACTCCTTGCATGCAGGGCTCAGCTCACCATCTGCCTACTGCTGCTGCTGCTGCTGCTAGTGCTGCTGCTGCTGCTGCTGCTGCTAGTCTTGCTGCTGCTGCTAGTGCTGCTGCTTCTGCTGCTGCTGCTAATGTTACTGCTACGGCTTCTACTACTGCTGCTGCTGCTACTGCTGCTACTGCTGCTGCTACAGCCACTGCTGCTGCTGCTACAGCCACTGCTGCAGCAGCTGCTGCTGCTACTGCTGCTGCTGCTGCTGCTGCTGCTGCTGCTGCTGCTGCGTAGGGTCCTTTCGAATACCTTAAAGGAAAACATATTGGCATATTAGTTTTCTCTGCCTCTATAAATTTTGCATGCAGACGCACAGTGCATGCGTTCTGCAGCAACTGAAACGCCCCGCAGCTGCATGCATGCGGGATGCTGGCTCTTCCTTCTTTTTAAGTTTAAACGCATGCATGCATGCATGCATGCATGTATGTATATATGTATGTATATATGTATGCATGCATGCATGCATGCATGCTTGTATGTATGTATATATGTATATATATATGCATGCATGCATGCATGCATGCAGGTTTGTATGTATGTACATATGCATGTATGTATATGTGTATGTATGTATGTATGTATATATATATGTATGCATAAATGTATGTATGTATGTATATATGTATGTATGTTTGTATGTATGTATGTTTGTATGTATCTATGTATGCATGCATGCATGCATGCAGTAGTACTGCATGCATGCAGCTGTGCTATATGCATGCATTTATATTGCATGCAACGGAACTGAAATTATTTTATTTTTTGATTTTTCTGTCTCTATACTTTTTGTGTTTATGGGGTGTACGTACACCTGGTGCTTATCTGCTGCCTTAGCAGGTTTCCTGCTGCTGCTGCTGCTGCTGCTGCTGCAGCAGCTGCTGCTGCTGCAACTGTCCCCTTATAAGCCCCTGCTGCTGTAACGATAAATATCTTACTTGCTCTCTTCTCCTGCTTCTGCTGCTGCTGCTGCTGCTGTTGCTGCTGCTTCTGCTGCTGCTGCTGCTGCTGGGTTTGTTTATATTATTTATTACAACATGAAAGCAACAGCTGCTGCGAGACAAAGAACAGAAAGAAGAGGAGCAGCAGCATCTGTTGCGCTGCTGCTGCCTTCTGCTGCTGCTGCTTCTGGTGCTTCTGCTGCTGCTGCTTCCTCTTCCTCGTCAGACTCCGTCTCCCTGTGTTGCATGCAATACAACAAAATTATATATTTTATATATTTTATATATTTATTTTTATATCTATTTATTTATATATAGAGTATATATATATATATATATATATACATATATATAGCAGCAACATAAACAGCAGTAGAAGCAGCACTAGCAAGGGGAGCAGCAAAAGCAGCAGCAGCAGCAGCAGCAACAAGAACAAAGAGAGCAGCAGCAGCAGCAACAGCAGCAGCAGCACCAAGAGCAGCAGCAACAGCATCATCGGGAGAGGCAAAAGCAGCAGCAGCAGCAGCAAAAGCAGCAGCAGCAGCAGCAAAAACATCATCACCACCACCACCAGTAAGAGCAACAAATTAAAAAAATAAACAAACAAATTAAACAGACAAAATAAGATATATAGAACAAAACAAAACAAACAAAACAAAACAAAAAACAAAACAAAAAAAAACAAAACAAAACAAAAAACAAACCAAAACAAAAAACAAACCAAAAAAAAA